AAGAATGCAGAATGCTCATCACCAAGTGGGACTTCTGTATCACAGCCTCTTGCAAGGCTCAGAGACTCTCAAGGTACTGAGGCAAAACAATTGTAAGAGCCAGAAGAAAGTAAATGATTACAGGAAGACCATTTTCCTGGACACAACAGGGCATATCCACAGGTCAGCTCATAGTGGTTGTGACTGTATATATAAGACAGGTATAAGATCAAATCAGAAAAAACCTCTCAGTGCAGGGATAGGAGGTAGTGTTAATCCTGTCTATTGAGAAACAGACCACTACCACAGTTAAAAACCAAATTTGAAACAAGCTTAATTAAATACTGGCTCGTGGATGGACTCTGGCCAGGTCCATACCGAGCATCCAAGGGAATCGCCTAGAATCACAGTAGGAAGAGAAGAAGGAAAGAAAACTTCATAATTCATTGTATTTCCTTCCCATCAGGTCCAATCAGGGGCAAGCATGCATCTTGTCTTCCTCCAGCCTGTTAGCCTGCCACCGTAGTGATCCAGGGTATCCAGTGCAAATGGGTCAGACAAACTTGTTTAGGCGAATGAAAGACACATGTCTTGTTATCTCCCCAAACTAATAGCACCCCGCTTTCCAGGAACTGTCTGTCCTTGGGCCAGGAGCTTGCAGATCTGTGCCATTTTGTTTCTTGGCATGTCAGGCATAGTAATCAAAACCTAATATGTAACTTTTGCTGTCACAACAGTCACAAAGTCCGACTCCTGGTTTAGGAGCAATTGATATCTGCTGGAGAAAGGAGAGTTCAAGTTCGTCATGGATGCCACCCCTTAATGCTGCCCATGCTGCAATAAATGGCCCTATATCCACAAACATACAGGCAGCCCTAAGTTGTCTCTGTGGTTTTGGTTGTTTGTTTTTTAAAGAACTCATAAAATTAGGAGGGAATATTGGTGGGGGTGGGGTAGGGAAGGCACTGGAGGGCTGGGAATGAGGAGTAACCTTGCACAAAAAAAAAATTATGTACATGTATAAAATTCTCAAGCAATAATTTACAAAAGAAATAAAATCAAGCATGACTCCTGCTTAGAATCCTAGCACTAAGGGGCTGGACGCAGGAGGATCAGCAGATAAAGGCCAACCTTGGCCATACAGAGAGTTAGGGGACTGTCATCCGCATTTCTCATAAATGGGGAAGGGCAGTACTAGGATTTAGTTGAAATGGTATGGGGCTTGAGGAGTACGCACAACTCCCGGAGTTTGATTATTGGTACTATTAAGTCTCAAACCCTGGGACAAAAGGCTAAGGTGCCTAGTTAACTTATCAAAGCAGATCAGGCCAGGTTCTCCCAGCATCCTTTAATCTCTACTTGTTACAGGGTAGCTGGCAGGCATACCCCAACTCTCCAGCTCAGGGGTTGGGTTGTTCTCCCAGCTGCCCTTCCCTGTATAGCCCAACCATTTAGGTTACCTGGTCTTCTTTTCATCTACCCTTTATCCTCCTGGCTTCTTGGTCTGTCTCCTCTCCTCTAGAGCTCAGGGTCATGTGTACTCTGGACTCTTACAGATGTTTCTGCCTCTGGCAATACTCTCCCTTTTATCTACAGTAAGCTTTCTCCACCACAGCCAGGAGCAGTCACGTTCTTTCCTTTTCTTCTTTCCTTTCCTTTCTTTCTTTCTTTCCTTCTTCTTCTTCTTCTTCTTCTTCTTCTTCTTCTTCTTCTTCTTCTTCTTCTTCTTCTTCTTTTCTCTCTCTTTCTTTTTCTCATTCATCTGGTACCAAAAACTAGAAGTGGCATGACTGAGTTCCCTCCCAAGGAACTCGCCCACTCTGAACCACGCTGCAGATCTGACTCTCCTAAGACACGTACAGATCATCTGTTTCTGCTGGCTTTGCCACTCTCCAAATTTGATTCTAAAGTCTGCCTCTTCTTCCTTCCACCTTATCTACCTATCCATCCCTCCCTCACCTACTCAGTAAGTGTCCTCTCTCTGGCTCCTGGAGCCCGATACCCACTTTGGGATGCCCACAACATCTCCCCACTTTAGATCACCTACGATATGGGCACATTCCTGCTGCACCCTTTCAGGGCCCCACCACTTGGGAGACTGTACTTACTAAATTTGCTCTTTCCTTGGAACCCTCACTTTCCCAAAAGCCTCTCCCAGTGCACCTCTTCAGTTCTCTACCTGCTCTAACCACTCACCTCTCCCCTTCTTCTGGCTAAGTGTCCCTGCAGACCTCCATGCTTTGTTTACTTTTATTATGAAAGCCACATCAGTGGGTCAGGAAGCTTCCTCTCACCCTGTTGGCCCCTATCATGGGCAAAGGGATACCTCTCCTCTGTGATTTGGGACATTTCTTTCTACTGTGTCTTTTAGTCCCCCTGGAAATGCCCAGGAGTGAAATTCTTGTTACACTCTGTGGGTGAGGCCAGGGAAGTGGGACTGAGGAGCCAAAGTCAAGACTGCCAATTGAACAAAAACTAAATATCTAAGAATAGTGGGAATGACCAAATAAATCTCCATAAAACCTAACCTTTTATACCCATTAAATTGCATTTTGTAAAAGTAATTTTAAAATGGTGTTTTGAAGCTCAGCAGTTAAGAGAACATGCTGGTGTAAAAGAAGCCCTGATTTCAATTCCCAGTACCCACATCTAGTGGCTCACAACCGCCTGTGAACCTAGAAGGGATCCTTTTTTATTTTGTTTTGTTTATTGAAACAGTTTCTCTGTATAACAGCCCTAGCTGTCCTGGAACTTGCTTTTGTAGACCAGGCTGGCCTCGAACTTACAGAGAACCAGCTGCCTGTGCCTCCTGAGTGCTAGGATTAAAGACCTGTGCCACCACCGCCAGGCTAGTCCTCTGATGGGCTATAAAGGAACTTGCACACACATGCATGGACACACACAAAATTTGAAAAAATTGATTTGTTATAAAGGTTTACAGTATTTGTTTTATGATGTTGATATTATTCTTCTCTCATGCATTACATTGGACTGCACTTTTCCTTCCTTTCATTTTTTTCCAGTCCTCCCTTCTACTTCTCTTCTCCCCAGGTCTACTCCTCCTCTGTTAACATTCAAAAAAGAGCAGGTCTACCAGGCATATCAAACAAACATAGCATAACAATTTACAATAAGACTAAGTACAAGCCCACCTATCAAGGCCGGATGGGGCAACTCAGTAGGAGGAAAGGGGCAGTTAGAACAGGCAGAAGAGTCAGAGACACCTCCACTCCCACTGTTAGGAGTCCAGTAAGAACACTCAACTGCACAACTACAACCTCTGCAATCCCCTATGAGTCTTGCTTAGTTGATTCTGTGGGCTATGCGTCTCTGGTGTCTTTGACCCCCCTTGGCTCCTGCAATCCCCCCACCGCTCCACCTCTCAGCCCTCGAATCTGTAGGGTTCCCCTGGTTCTGTCTAGTGTTTGGCTGTGAGTCTCTGCCTCTGTTCCCATCAGTTGCTTGGTGAAGCCTCACTAATGACGACTGGACAAGGCACTGATCTATGAGTATAGCAGAATATTCTTAGTAATCATTTCATAGACATTTTCCCTAGTTGTATTTGGTTCTATCCTGGGTCTCTGGGTTGTTCAGTTTCTGGTGTCTGGCCATACAGGCAATGTCAGGCACGGGCTCCCTCTTGTGGTGTGGACTTCTATTGGACAAGTCACAGGTTGGCCACTCCTACAAATTCTGTGCCACCATTACCTCAGCACATATTGGAGGAAGGACGGATTGTAGGTCAAAGGTTTTGTGTCTGGTTTGAGGTTCCAGAACCTCTGCTGGGAGCCTCGCCTGGTTAGAGAACATGGCCAGTTCAGGCCCTGTACCCCCATTACTACGAGTCTTTGCTAGAGTCACCCTCAGATATTTCTAAGATTTTCAACTGCACTAGGCTTCCACATCGACCCCCAAACGTCCAGGAATTTCACTCATCTGTCCCAGTATGTTCTCTCTCCATCACTTCCCACACCAACAGGCCTGATGCCTCCTTTTCCCATACCCACTCACCCCCAGTACACCCACAAAATCTATCTGATTTCTCCTTCCCAGGAAGAGCTAAGTATCTTCCCTTGGGTCCTCCCTGTTACCTAGCCTCTCTGGGCCTGTGGATTTTAGCATGGTTATCCCGTACTTAGCAGCTAATGTCCATGTTTGTCTTTCAGCGTCTGAGTTACCTCGCTCAGGATGATTTTTTTCTAGTTCCATCCATTTGCCTGCAAATTTCATGTCATTCTTTTGAATAGCTAAGAAATAGTTCCTTGTGTAAACGTATCACATTTTCTTTATCCATTCTTCAGCTGAGGGACATCTAGGTTGTTTCCAGTTTCTGGCTGTTATCAATAAAGATGCAATGAACATAATTGAGCAAGTGTCCTTCTGGTAGGATGGAACGTCCTTTGGGTATATGCTGAATATGGTATAGATGGGTATTGAGGTACATGATATCCCAATTTTTGCTTATAGAAATTCTTGCTAAACAATTTGTCAGAACTGCTTGAATACAAATCATTACTAGCATTTGCAGAACCACAGCCTTGCACAAAGGCTCACGATGAACTCATGTTTAAAAAAGAACTCAATGAGGTCATCTGCTAGTGTACACTAGAATAGATGTCCCCTTTATCATAACTCCATGGCAAACCACAGTTCTTTCAAAGTAGCTGCTGTAAGATGTCTTATTTTGCCTTGACATTTTCCTGTGTCTCAGATGCTTGAACACTCACTCCATTCACTAGAGTTATAGCCTCTCCCATGGCAATGTCTCTTCCCAAATAAACTTCCCGATTCATCTTGGAGGACTTTCACCCATCTTATTTAGCATCATAAACCTCCGTGCAGAAGGAAATTATGCATTCTGCATTGGGGAGACTTTGCACTGTGCAGAGTTTAATCTTGTTCACCATATCATTTCTACAACAGATCGAAATAAACATTCTGTTGAGAGCCCCACCCCTTGGCTATGGCTGCCTTCCAATGCAGTAAAAGCCTGCTCCCTTATCCAGGAAATAAAAACTCGACCAGCCTCCGTATAGAAGCAGGCATTCATCTGCTCTCAGAAAGTCTCTGCAGCAACCATGGCCACCTTCGTGGAACTCAGTACCAAAGCCAAGATGCCCATCGTGGGCCTGGGCACCTGGAAGGTGAGTGTGCCATCTTGGGCCACCTGCTTCTCTTGAAGGGGGGACCTTGGCATTTTCCCTTCATTGTACAGCACCTGTGTTGGGTTTGGAAGCCCAGAGCTGCCACCCAGTGTCCTTTCACTGATGAAGAGAACTAAGATGAGCCTTTCCCAGAAATGAGGATAGTTTCCCTGGCAAGTTAGAACTATACTTTGGGAAGAAAATTGTTTTTACTGCAGTCATTTTCTTAACAAAAAAATAACTCAGAGACTCTCTGTTGGTTTGTTCCTGGCTGAGTGACTGAGAGAGGAGAGAATTCTGAAGGACCAGGCTCCCCTTGCTGTTCATGATGCTAAACTCTTTGCAGACATCCAAGTGGCCAGGGAGCCTGGGGGAGAGGAAAAGTTTCAGACCCCAGCCCAGGTTACTGAACTGGCTCCTGCCCTTCACCAAGACTCCACGTGATTCCCTGACAGTAAAGTAAACTCTGAGTGTCCTGAGGACAACAGAGCCTGGACTGGAAGTCAGCTCAGGCTCCATCCTGCCTGTGTTGATCTCTCCTGACACATTGCTCCATGGTCCATCCCAGAGTGCTCCTTGAAGCCAATTTCCAAGCCTCTCCTCAGACAAGTCTGAAATTTGTTTCATCTTATATCTCTGCATTCTTTGTCTTTCCCTTCAGCCACAACAGGACAATAGCCAGCTTGTTTACAGGAGCTGTTTTTAGTTAGGAGTTTGATTTCTTGAGACAGGGTCTCACTCTAAACCTACACTGACCTTGAGCGAACTGGGAGCAGCCCTCCTGCCTCAGCTTCTTGAACGCTGGGACTACAGTGTAGACATCATCCCTGGATCATGAGCTGCTTTGGAACCCTTCTCTCCTGTCTCAGAGACTCCTCTCCAGGCTTCCTCCTCTGTCCCTTTGTTCCTCTTGGCACAGAGGGTCAGATCCCTCTTTGTGTTGGTGCTGCACTGAAATCTTTCTAGAACAGCGAGACTTGAACCAAATTAGGAATTTCACATTCCATCAAGGTAACAAACAATCACAATTCTCCAGGGAATATACTCAGCCTCGATAAATTTAGAAGAGATAAACACTAAGAATTTGAAAAGCAATTGTAACTATTGTGAAGGAGCTGTTTTCAAGGTTAAAGAACAGTGCTGTGGAGCAATCCTTCTGTACACGGTGAAGATGTGCTGCTCTCGTGGTTAATAAAGAGCTGATTGTCTGATGGCTAGACAGGATCTTGGGGGCAGAGAGGATGCTGGGAGGAAGAATAGAAATGGGTTAATTTAAGTTGTGAGAGCTGGCTGGAGACTTGCCTAAGCTATCGGCTCAGAATTTATAATTAATATGAAGTTTTTGTGTGGTTATTTGGGAGCAGCTGGTGGACAGAATCTTCTGCCTACATGATGGTGCTGCTGTAGACACTGTGCTTATCAGTGGACATGCAGGAGGGTGGGGCTTTGAGCCTGGACCCCAGTGCTTCTAAATTTCTGGCAATTCCTTGTCCCCATAATGGCACAGCTGTTCATCTCTGCTTTATGCACAACGCTTTATCAAGGTTTGATACTTAAAAAAGAATTTTTAGAATTTTGTTGTTTGAGAGAGTCTCATGTAGCCCAGATTGGCTTATAATTCCTTATATGGCTGAGACTGGCTTTGAATTCCTTATTCTCCTACCCCCTTTCCTCCCAAATGCTAAGATTACAGATGCAGGCCTCCACATCTGGCAGGATTTTGTTTTCTCTTGAATGAGGTGGTAATGTGCCAGGGGCTGGCCTCAAAGTCATGACCCTCCTGCCTTGAGCCTCTCAGAGTGGGATTGGAGGCATGCAGCTCTATGCTCTGCAGGGAGATGAGTGCAGAGTATCATTTCCCACCACCAATATCTGGCTCGGCTAGGTTAGATCAGAAGGTGATAGTTTGAACATTCTTTTCTCTTCTTTTGTTCTCTTTTGCTTATAGGTGGGAGAATAATCGGTTGTTACAGTTTTATTCATTCCTGTTCTGAAACAGTGATTACTTACTGGTTGCATCCACCCAGCCTTACTAAGTGCCAGGGGATGTGCTAAAACCTTCACAATCTTGTGGCAAACAAGGGACACAAAGGCCTCACGAGGCAGGGTCCATTACTGTTGCTATACTTTGTTGTCAAGGTTTAGAGAAATTGAGGAATCCCTTAGCCTCATAGGGCACCATAGCAGAGTAGATTAGCTTGTCGTGACTGTTTTGATAGCCTTCTTCCCAGAGTCTGAAAATTCCTCTGGATTGTCTCAGAATCGAGTTTTCAGAGTGGCCTTCAGCAAGATGCAATGGGAACTGTCTGTCCCTGTCTGAACCTGGAGGCTTTTCAGATCAACCTGGATCAGAGGACAACTGGTTACTGACTAGAAGAGGACATGGTTTGATGATCACTACAGTGACATGTGCTTTAAGTTGCCATGTTAAACCACATTGCTTTGTCAAGAGAAAAACTGAATGAAATAAAAAAATATTAATTCACATTATCTTTTTCTTTGAAAACTTGCCCAATGTATGTTTTCCTCTCTCTTGTCTGCTTGGAAGTAAGGCTTCAGCAAGACCATCATTTTGAGAATATGGTCTATGTGGAACCGTTAAGAGGGGGCCTTGGGACTGTCTAGCTGTCTTTTCTGCTGTCTTTCAGTCTCCACCAGGCAAAGTCAAGGAAGCTGTGAAGGCTGCCATTGATGCTGGGTACCGCCACATTGACTGCGCCTATGCCTATCAGAATGAGAATGAAGTGGGGGAAGCCATCCAAGAGAAGATCAAGGAGAAGGCCGTGAAGCGGGAGGACCTCTTCATTGTCAGCAAGGTAGAGTGGCCCACTTGGTGGAGGGGACTTCAGGCAGGTGGAAGTATCTGGGTATGACCGGCTTCAAGAGTTTATCAGTTATCTCTCCTGTCTGTCTGTCTCTTCACCCTGTTCCCCTGCCTCCATTAAATCTCTTAGACAGATTTCCACACACAAAAAGCTCCAAAGGTTGGAGTGGCCACACCTATATATACTCATTGTCATCAATCACGGGCCTGATTGGCCTGGGGATAAGGAAGTGCTAAAAGGGCCAGCTGTTCCTAATTGCACCCTAATGATTGAGTGTTAAGTACCACCAAAGGACTCCTGCCCTCTGATAAACCAGAGCCAAGGATGAATAACATAGGAATATAAAATTTTAGTCAGCGACCAACTCTGTTAAATGACCAAAGAAACAATTTGAATACCAAGAGCATAGAACACTGGACCTGGTGTGAGTGATGACCTGCTTGTTAAGTGTCAAACCCCAGAGAATCAGCTGAGGTGTTTGGTATTAATATATAAAAGTGGACCTGGGCCGGGCGGTGGTGGCGCACGCCTTTAATGCCAGCACTTGGGAGGCAGAGGCAGGTGGATCTCTGTGAGTTCGAGGCCAGCCTGGTCTACAAGAGCTAGTTCCAGGACAGGAACCAAAAAGCTACAGAGAAACCCTGTCTCGAAAAAAAAAAAAAAAAAGTGGACCTGGTGACTAGATTCCCCCAGCATCTCACAGTCCCTAGCTGTTACAGGGTATGGCTGGAATACCTTGCCTGCTACCCTGAACTCTTCAGCGCAGGGGCTGGGCTGCTCTTCCCCCAAAGGTCTTCCCTACATTATCCAGACACTTTGGTTACCTGTGCCCTTTTGTATTCTGCACCTCACTTCTGCCCTCTTACCTCACCTCATCCCATAGCCCACCTCAGTCTGGTCACGTCAATTCTGGACTCTCCCAGATGTTTCTGCCTCTGGACATGCTCTCCCTTTTATCCACAGTAAACTTCCTCCTCCACCATACCTGGGAGCCAAAATGTCCTTTGTTCTCCTTTTTCTTTGTTTCCATTCACTCCTGGGCTGCATTTCTTAACTGTTTTTATTATCAATGAATGGCCTGGCCAGGGTTTATATATCTTAGGGTATGGGTCTTTCTCTAACCAGTCCTAAAACCCCCATGTCACACTCTACAGCTGTGGCCCACCTTCTTCGAGAAAAGCCTGGTGAAGAAAGCCTTTCAGAAAACCCTCACGGATCTGAAGCTGGACTACCTGGACCTGTATCTAATTCACTGGCCACAGGGATTCCAGGTTTGAGCTGCTCTTTGCCCCATCTGTAGCAGCTGAGCAAATATCAGAAACCAGCAGCTGTGCCTGAGCTGGGGCAGTGGGATGGGCTGTATCAGGAGTTCTGTGCACAGCAGAAAGTCAATGGCCTAAAAAGCACATAGGTGGAACTTTCTGTCCTGCCAGCCAACTCCCAAATAACCGCAGAGACTTATTGTTAATTATTAATACTCAGCTTGTTACTAACTAGTTCTTACAAATTACAACTTAAATTAATCCATATTATTAATATACATGCTGTGAATTGGCTCGTGGCTTGTATCCGTCTTCTACACGTCCTGCTTCCTCTGTCACTGGTTGGCAACTCTGCCCTTCCTCATCCATGCTCTCTCTCTCTAAGTGCTGCCTAACCTCTCCCTGCCTAGCTATTGGCCGTTCAGCTCTTTACTAAACCAATGAGAGCAACGCATCTTTACAGTGTACAAAAAGACTGTTCCACAATAAAAGCTGTCCAGGGCTATATGCAGGAGCGCCATGTGCTTATGTTATATTCTTACAGTTGGTTTGAGAGAAACTGATTCTTGCCAGCTAAGACAAACTGCAAACTGGCCTGTCACCTTCATATTCATCCCCAACCCAGTCCCCTGAGCAGAGAGGGTGTGAATTTCTTAGGACAGTCTTGTATGACACACATCGAGGATCAAGCATTTTGCCCTTTATAGCACCCCTGCCCTGGGAAGTAGCATCTGGGAGGAAAACCCAAATATAGGAAAGCTGGCAGATAATATAATCTGAAAAACTATAGCTCCATGCCTGGGACCCCACTCCTGCTGGTTCCACAGAGTTCAAAGGGGTTGAGGAAGGTGTGGAGAGATGGCTCTGCAGTTAAGAACACTGGTTGCTCTTCTAGGGGATACAGGTTTAATTTTTAAACCCCCCACACACGGAGGCTCATAACGGTCTGTAACTCCATTTCCAAAGACTCAAGACTTTCTATTAATGCCTCCACAGGTAGTTGGCAAGCATGTGTTTACACATATAAACATGCAGGCAAAATAATCATTTATAGAAAAACAAAAAACAGCCAAAAAAAAAAAAACCCAAATATGAAACCAACAAAATCTTTAAAAAGTGAATGTGTGGTGTAGGAGTTCCTTCTGTTTGTGTGTTGCTGTCATTGGATAATGAATAAAGAAACTGCCTTGGCCTGGTTGATAGGATAGGACTTAGGTAGGCAGAGTCGACAGAACTGAATGCTGGGAAGAAGGGCAGAGTGGCAGTCCCCATGGATCTCCTGCCTGAGATGGACGTCAGTTAGAATCTTGCCGGTAAGCCACAGTCACATGGTGATACAAAGATTAATAGAAATGGGTTAAATTAAGATGTAAGAATTAGCCAAAAAGAAACTAGAGCTAATGGGCAGTGTTTTAATGAATATAGTTTCTGTGTGGTTATGTCGGGTGTAAGCTAGCCGGGAGGCCGGGACAAAGAAAATAGCCCTCTCCCATGCAAAAAATGTGAAGGAAAATCGAAGGGATGTGAGTTTTCATTCTACTGTACATGTGACCAGTTTGGGTGATGACTGCATACTACCCCAAATTTCAGATTTAGGCTGCAAGGACAGACACTGGCTAGTATCCTCCGCTGCTAGCCATGACATTTTCATGTAACCTGTGACTAATAAGCTTGAAGCCAAAATGCCCCTAGATATTTATGGATTTAGGTATGTTGAATTAATCTCTGTGGTGACAATAATAGCTTTGACAATGTACTAAGAATAGATGGTCAGACACTGTCTGCCACGGTCACATGCAGGGTTTCCATCCCACAGCGGACTGCCACATAGATGGTTCTGAACTTTTCTGTGACAAATGGCTATGCGGGCATTTCTCTTGGGTACGTCATCACCCTCAAACCTTGCTGCGCAGAAACAGGCACCCATATGTAGGTCCTAATGAGGTTTTTGTCTTGCGTTTACAGGCTGGAAATGAATTTTTACCAAGAGACGAAAAAGGCAACATTCTCGTCAGTAAAGCAACATTCTTGGATGCTTGGGAGGTAGGTTCCTACTCCTCTGTATGTTTTCAGAGATAAAAACTTCTGTCAGGACCCCTTGACACTCCACCCTGATCTGAAAATGCCCAGGAGATCTGTGTCTAACTTCACCACTCCTGTTTCTCTCTTTTCTATTCATATATTTGAATGGGGGGGAGGGGAAGAGGCGCTCGTGGAGGTCAGAAACCTTGTGTGGGAGAAAGTTCTCTTCTTCAACTATGTGAGTTTCTGGGAATAAAATATGGTCTCTCTTAGTCACACAGATTGATTTGATCCTCCTCTGTATCCCAGGTAGACTTTGTGAGTCTCTCGCCTCACCCCCCCCTCCCCCCAACTTATCTGGGATTGTCAGCCTACACCCACGCCCATCTGCTGTTGTAGTTCCTCTCTTTGCTGTCAAACGCAGCCTGATGTGAGCGAGAAAGGCCTTGAAGATATATGGGCCCTGGTAGGAGTGCCTACCTAGGTACTAGAAAAGGGCTGGAATCTATCCTACTGACTACCTGCTTAGCCCCAAATGGAGTCAGCCCAAGGATGTAGGGTTTATAGATTATTACCCACAGTGATCTTGTTCTAAACTTTCCAAAAGACAATGATCCAACCTTAGAGCAGCAGAACATGAAGTTATGATCCATTCATTGTAAGTTCCTGTCCAGTAGCTGCTAGAATCAAAGCATATACAATGTGTTTGCTGTTGAGATTCTTTCAGTCCAAGTGCTAAGGTTTCTGTGGTTGAGCCCTCAGCAAAGTGTGGGGACCTCAGCTTATTTGACAGTTCAAACAACACAGGAATCGATGAGGGAAGGAAGGAATTGTCTGGTCCCAGGAGAGACATTAAAGAGAGTTTGATTTGTGCCTGGAAAGAAATGTGAAGAAAGGGGGTAAAACCATGAACAGAAGCCAGAACTTCACTTTTCCTTCTTGGTTACAGCTGAGCGGGGGACAGGTAGAAGGACTGGAACCAGCCATGCAGGCACCACAGTCTAGCTGGAGATTCCCTTTAGTGCTTCACTTGATATTATCACAGGGAAGCCAATCCTCCTATCCATTCCTCCTATCCAAACCAGCATCCCTGTATCCTCCTGCAGCCATCTAACTGATGTTCCTCACTGTGACAGGCCATGGAGGAACTGGTGGACCAGGGGCTGGTGAAAGCCCTGGGCATCTCCAACTTCAACCACTTGCAGATTGAGAGGCTCCTGAACAAGCCTGGACTGAAACATAAGCCAGTGACCAATCAGGTACATTCTCTTTGGTGAAGGCCCTGCTTTGGGACTACTTCAATACTGGGAGGCAATTTCCATACTAGCTACTGAGTCTCATCTCTGAGGTCTGTGTTCAGGATGCTCAGGGAGCTGGGAGGCAGATCTCTGGGTCTGGTTTGGAGCATATCTATCAATGATTTGCCTTTGGTCTTTGTTTGTGTGTCTGTTCTCATGTGGAGAAGCCTTTCTGAGCCACTCAGAAAGTGGCTAGTGGCCTAGTCCCCTAGTGATGGCGATGTTTTCTCTTGCAGATTGAGTGCCACCCATATCTCACCCAGGAGAAACTGATCCAGTACTGTCACTCCAAGGGCATTGGCATCACGGCCTACAGCCCTCTGGGTTCCCCAGACAGACCAGAGTAAGACTTTAGAGTGGTGTCTCTTTCTTTTAACCTTTTAACACTCTTAAAACAGTGTTTGGTAATTGGTTAGTAATTTCTAAGACACGAGTAATCATGTTTTGCGTAGCTAGGTCATACTTTTCAACTGCTAAAGCTCTGGTCCATAGCTAGGCTCCTGGAGAGACTCTCTCTCTCTCTCTCTCTCTCTCTCTCTCTCTCTCTCTCTTTCTTCCTCCCTCTCTCTTTTTGCCTGTCTCTCAGATGAAGAAGGCTTTCATGTTAGGCCTTGGCACTGTCCTGGCAGTAATGTTCATAGGCATGTAGTAGCCATGGTGATTTTCACGCCAGCCATCTTTGTTCCCCTAGTGCCAAGCCAGAAGACCCTGTAGTACTGGAGATTCCCAAGATTAAGGAGATTGCTGCAAAGCACAAGAAAACTGCAGCCCAGGTAAAATGGAGTAATTCCCCCTAGATCTAACCACTCATTCTTCTAGTCATGTGTTTTATTGGTATTGCCTTCTTTCAACGCATTGGAGGGGAAGAAATGAGAAATGTAAGTCTGTTAAGACTTCCAGGCAAAACCACTGGCATCAGGGAAGGGCTGCCTCTGTCAATCAGCTTCCTGTCAAATCCCTAGGCTCAGCCTCATGAACATTGCCTTCTGGACACAGTCTCAGTTTCATGGCCACAAGCCACGCGCGTCCTTCCTATCTAGGGAAATCAGTGCTGCCTCCAGCATCAGGGGCTGTAAGATGGGGCCTGGCAAGTGTTTCTAATAATAGCTAAAGCCACAGAGAAATACAAGTACATTTTATCAGTTATTTCACTAAGAGGAGTTCTTCATAGGTAAGTAGATACCTAATGTCCCCTCTTTGTACACAGGTTCTGATTCGGTTCCACATCCAAAGGAATGTGGTGGTGATCCCCAAGTCTGTGACACCCTCCCGCATACAAGAGAACATTCAGGTAAGGTGTGGCCTCATCATTTGCTATTCCCACTGGGTGGATAGGGGCTGGGAAAGATCCTGTCCTTGAACTTTAATCCCACCCCCTGATTGCCAGTGTGACTTAACTCCTTCCAAGTAACTAACTGACCAACACTTGTGCTAGTTAGCTGGCCTCAACAGAGCTGTAGCGATTACATGCATGTGGGCCATGAGTGGGTTGGAGGCAGGTACCAGCAAAGGCCTGTCAGGACTAAACATCTGAACTTTATCCCACTGAGGAGATTCCTGTTACCCTTGAACACTTAGATCACAGTCCCACACTGTCCTGGTCAACTATGGACTCTCTTGGTCTACTCATGCACCTTTTTGTAGAAGGTGATGCAATGAATTGAAAAAACCATGCCTCCTACATGGCCCTCAAGGATCAGTCATTGCACACACTGCACACACCTACAACTCCCCTCCATGTCCAGGACAGCGATATCTCTAAATTATCCAGTTGTCATTAGAGAAGGATTTGGTGGCACTATGCCTGAATGTGAGGAACACCTATAATCTTAGATCCCATCAAAACTTTCCTTCCTAAGGATGTTTTTGGAACTTTCTAGGTCTTTGACTTCCAGCTGAGTGATGAGGAGATGGCCACCATTCTCAGCTTCAACAGAAACTGGAGGGCCTGCGGCCTGTTTATGTAAGTGTCATCAGGTTAAGTAGGAGGGTGATCAGGGTGTTATCTCAGGTTGTAAAGCAGTAGCAGGAAAGAATAAAAGAAATGCAGGATTATAGCATGGCTTCGAATACTTTCTTCTGGCAGTTGTGAAAAATTAACGTTTGAGTCCTGGGGAATCACTAAGAGTAGAGTGTTGTTCTTTGCTGCTCATCTTCTGCATCTTACACACAGAGCTAGGATTTTGAAGGGACAAATTGTCATGAGTATGTGGAAGGCTGACTTCTTACTCCCTCATTCACTCAGCAACTTACTGCAATGTGCGATGCCAGGAATAATCTAGGTGTTCAGGGAATCACACTACCAACTTCCTGTCCCCAGTCTTACATTCTACAGAGGGAACAGTAACTCCAAATATGTATGTCAGAGAATGACAAATGCCATAGCAAAAAATAAAGTAGGGCAAAGGCACAGGAATTCGTGAGCCCTTTGTGACTGATACTTTACTAACATGATTATCTAGAGGAGGTTTAGCTGATAAAATGAGAGTTAAAAGAGGGTGAAAGAAGAGGAACATGGATGGTGGGGGGAAACTATGTATTTGTTAATGACAGCAAATTCCAATGCCCTGATGTAAGAGGTTTAGAGCTCTCAAGTAGAGGCAGTGATGCTGGAGCAGAGCCTGTAGGGGTTATGGTAGAGTGATGTTGGAGCAGAGACTGTGTGGGCTATGGTGATGCTGGAGCAGAGCCTGTAGGGGTTATGGTAGAGTGATGCTGGAACAGAGCGAGTGGGGGCTATGGTGATGTTGGAGCAGAGCCTGTGTGGGCTACAGTAGAGTGATGCTGGAGCAGAGCCTGTGTGGTCTACAGTAGAGTGATGCCGGAGCAGAGTCTGTGGGGTCTACAGTAGAGTCATGCTGGAACAGAGTCTGTGGGGGCTATGGTAGAGTGATGCTGGAACAAAGCCTGTGTGGTCTACAGTAGAGTGATGCTGGAGCAGAGCCTGTGGGGGCTACAGCAATGCTGGAGAAGAAAAAGTGAAGGCTATGGTAGGAAGAAGTCAAGTCAGAGACAACTTTAGGCTAAGAACACATAGTGGTATAGAGCAAGGAGGCTTCGCTCTTTTTATCAGGCGGAATTGAGAAGCCAGGAGAGGATTCTGAAGAGAGGCTAGCATGGCATGATGTACCTTAAAACGTCACGTCGACATCTCCATTGAGAACTGCAGAGTGCTACTATAATTATCCAGGGAGAAGGACAGCCAATGGACTTGGGCCCCCGTTGTGGGGATGGGGAAGAGCAGATTCAGGATGAATACAAAGCAGCTATTTGTATTTGCCAAACCATTAACCAATATGGTTCTGTTTGCTTAGTTTTATTTTTGCTTGAGTAATCAAGAACATAATTATCATTTAGAAGAGGTCAGGAATCTGCTCAGGATGTGTTTATGATGTTTGTTTCACATCAGGTGGGAATGCAAGATGGAGATGGATTTGTGAGTAGAGTCACAGATCGATGGACTCAAAAGTAAACCTAGCTGGCTCGTGCTAGAAACCCTACCACTTACTAGAGATGAGGCCTTGGGTTGTTTGGGTAATGTCACCAAGTCACTCTATCTACAGAGCAGGGATGACAGTATTAATTTCAGCAACCATCCACTAGGTACTAGTTTAGGGTATAGCAGACACTTTAAGCTCTTTGATTATATTAGTATCTTAGTTAATACTTACAACCTATCTGTCAATTTCAGTTGTACTTCCCACTTCATGACAATGTGAGAATTTGAGACAATAGTTCTGAGGCCCTTGGCTGTGTGCCAGCTGGCTTATGATCTCTCATTATGACAAGCTACTGGTGACCAGAATCTCGTTCCTTAATAGCCCTCTCGTACTTTAGGGCGACATCATGGTCTGTGTGCCCTATCTCATTTCCTCATGGTCTTATTGGAGCCGGGGCTCAGCGAGCACCAAGATGGTTGAATAGAACACTGAACGGTGACTTTAGGTTACACTTGTTGCTTCTGGGGAACAATTTCTTCTTTATGCTTGTTGCTGCAGGGCAAGTCATCTCGAGGACTTCCCTTTCCACGCCGAATACTGAAACTGAGACACCTGATGAGCTTGCCCAGTTGCCCTCTTCACGATGTGCCGTCCACTTCTCAGGACTCCTATCGTTGCCAAGCCTACCAGATACCACACCGAGCTAGCCACGAGAAGAGAATTCTGCTTTTAAACCTCATGTTGATCTAGAAGCAGCCTGTCACAGAGGATGCTTACTCAGCGAAGGACAATGGTTTTCTCTAATTAGATCCGGTCAAATGTTTGTCTTACCCCAGTGGTAATTCTGAGGATTTAAAGATCAAACGTATAATACAAATGACAATCACCACACACATTTTCAACAGTCAGAAGAGCTTTCTGAACTTTGTGGGTCCAACTTTCACCATTCATATTTTGTAGAAGAGGAAATGAAGCCAAGAACTTGCTGAGGGCCCCAGGTAGAAAGAGGCTGAAGGATGTTTCAAAGGAAGGGTGCTCTTTGGGAGAGCTCAAGACAGTTCGCTGCCTTCCTCTTCCAAGTCTTCTCCTCCTGGCCATACCTGGCTCTTTACCAAAAGACTTTGTTGACTCTCTTCTTCTTGCTCTTCCCTCTGATATGCCATCATGACGAAGGGTCAATGCCGATGGTGGAAGAGCCCTTAAAATTCACACAATGCCACTATTCAGAGAGAGAGAGAGAGAGAGAGAGAGAGAGAGAGAGAGAGAGAGAATGGCAACTACAGGATCTAGAACAAATGCAGAGACAAACATCTGGCACACCTGTGAGGAGTTATCTAGAGTAGGTTAATTAGGGTGGGAGACACACTCTAACTTTGGACGGCATCATTTGATGGGTTGGGGCCCTAGCTAGCTGAGTACAAACATTCCTTTCTCTCTGCTCCTTGAGTTTGGATGCAATGTGATCGGCTACCTCACATTCCTCCTCATGTCTTCCCATCATGGAGGACTGTATACCTACAAACTGTGAGCCAAAATAAGCCCTTCTTCTTTGAAGTTGTTTCGGCCAGATATTTTGTTTTAGCAATAAAAAAGTTATAAAACATAAAATCTGGCTCATTTTTTTCATTAAGCATTTTTCTACTTTATTTGTACTTTTAACCAAGTAAATTATATCATACACATATATTCATCAGAATAAAAAGTCAGGACAAGTTTCTTAAGTATAAAACAAGCGTATATTGGCAAATCCATGAAGCTAAAAGTATATAAGAAAAGACTTTATTAAACATTCTGAGGTCGAATGAAAATAGCAACAGCTTATTTACAATAAATCCCACTAGAAGTGGAGTGTCTTTCTAATCCACAACTTTGTGCTGTTTGGCGACTTCTTTTATCAAGAGAAGGTGGCCGAAGAGACGCTCCACACACCTCATGAATAGAGCCACTGGAATGCTATTATGTCATGACTGTGAATAAGCCCAAGTCAGCGTCCAGCAGATGAAAGAAACACTTAGGAAAAGAACCCCATTCTTGTCTGAAATCCCAGTTCAGACAAATAAAGTCAAACCTAAGAGGGAATCTGACTGATGTCATGTGAACCAAAAAATTCCAGCTCATCCTTGACCCCATAAGAATTCACACAAATGGCTGTTGTAACAGTGAGCTGACATCAGCTTAACCGGAAATTGATGATTACTCCCAACTAGCCAATAAGGTTTTTTTCTTTCTGTTTTTTTGTTTTTTTTTTCTAGGCTAAAGAACAAATATGAGCAAGAACGATAGACCTGTCTTTACTTTGTGACTCACAGTGGATTTCCAAATTATAACATTTCCACTGTGTGCATAAGGAGTAGACTTAAGAGACTTTGTACTGTATTCTGATACCAACAATTACAATATATGTTGTGTTATCAATGTTCAAGTATATCATTTAACAATACATGATGATGAGTGTTAAGGTTTTCTACCTATAGGTGCAAAACATCATATCAATAGACTTCCATAAATGGGGTAATCACATACAAACTGGAAATTAAAGTCTGCTTCAAGGTCCAACCAGGTCAGATCACTAAAAAATGAGAACATCTAAAAGGCAAAATGAAGCCCAAAAGAATAGAAAGAAACATCCATCACCTATGTGTCAGCCCCAAATAATGCCGGCCATGGCAACACCTATATCCCTCCCATGGATTTCTGACTACCCAAGTATTGTAACTGACTCAAATCCAGTCAGGACTTGTCCATCACTAAACTGAATACACACATGCAATCTACTGAATGAGATTCTATTGTACCCCTCTTCTCTGGCCTCATTTCACACAAGAAACACCCAACAGGCCAGGAAAATCCCTTTATTTTCTTTCTCCCAGTAACTGAGTTCCTATCTACATCAAAGAAGTCTAGTTTTCCAACATTCATCTATGCTAAACCTGCTGACTTACGGTGAGCACACAGAAAAATTTTAATACCTATTCAAAAGTCCACAAATATGAAAGAAACAACCATATCCTTCCACAGTAAAGTGGATGAGCAAAATATGGTATAATCGGAAATAGAGAGATGGCTCCATGGTTAAGAGTGTTTCCTGCTCTTCCCGAAGACCTGAGTTCAGTTCCCCTCACCCATGTCTGGAGTCTCACATCAACCTGAGCTCCAGGGGACTGGGATACTCACATCATGCCTCTTGTAGGTATGCACTTGCAAATCAAAGTAAAATAAAGTTTAAATGTGGTGCATAAAGACAGTGGTACAATAATCTCAAGAAACTAGAAATGACCCTTCACCAAAGCACAAAGAGGCACAGAAGCATTCTAAGTTTACAACGTTAAGATAAGGACATCTTTCACAAGCAACTTTTTATTCTAGCTATGGTACACACTTGGAAATCGGGGAAAGAAATAATATAAAGATAGGAAACAGATCTGGATGTGATCCACATCAGTAATCCCAATATTTAAAAGATAGAAACATGAGAATCAAAACTTGAAGGTCATACTAAATGATACAGCCAATTCAAGGCCACCAGGGACTGCACTGCACCTGACTCCATCTCAGTGAACTAAAGAACACGAGAGATGCACAGAAACGGGCCAGGAAATAAGTCACAACAAAGGAAAAGATAGAGAGCTTAGAATGTTTGATTCTTTGGGAAAAGGACACGATAATGTTATTTTTTTTTATTAAAAATAAGACACTGAGTTACAAGCTATGGAGTAGAATGAAAATCCACTTGTTTTAAAAATTAAATACCACAGAAAGACTGCAAAAATAGAGGAGTGGGTTTATTTTGATATTTGGCTTTTTTAAACTAGTGCCATAAAAGCCAATATACATAGCCTACGAAAAAATAGTACAATGTTGCTAACTTTTACTATTAATAAATTAATATAACATGTTTAGGCTTAATCTTTCAAAAACTTAACAACTAATTATGAGGACACTATTTTGAGAGTAAGTATATTCACCTTATGCGTATTAGCAAACACATTCTCATAAACGTGCAGCTCTGGTGCCATATACATTTAAATTTATATAGAATCCCTAGTTCACTTGGAGTATTTTCATTTCTATTGTGACTTTGTATTTCTTTTAGAATGTTGTCAATATAATCATAGAAAACCTTATCTGGAACTGAGAAAAAAGTGAAAATGACTTGAAAATTAAAATTCTTTCAGGAGTGACAGATCATGCCTTTAATCCCAGCACTTGGGTAGCAGAGGCAGGTGAATCTCTGTGAGTCTGAGGCAGGTCTTGTCTATGACATAAGATTCATAGGCTAAGTCTGTAGAGAGACTGTGTCTCAAAAATAAATTCCTTTTGTTTCTTGATTTATGGATCAAGGAGATACTTTTTGGATATCTGAAATTTAAATTCCATTTTAGATAGATCAACTCTGATGACTCAGTTTTAGTACTTTTTATGGAGTTTTAATATTTTAATTATTTAATATTTAAATAATAATATTTTAAAAGATAGTCTCAAGATTACTGAACTTTTGGAGGTCTGGTCTACAAAGTAAGTTCTGGAATATGCAGAAAAACCTTATCTTGTATAACAATAACAACATTAAAGCTTTTGGAACTTCTGAATGAAGATTAAGAAATCCTAGTTTCATCCTAGACAAAAGTAGCACAACCTTCCTGGAGTTTGAAGGATTTACATGACTATTCTTTCTTCTAGAGAACAATTCATCATTAATGTCTCACACAGCTTTGCTTCTCATTTTCTTTTTAAAGACATAATATACTGATGGGTGGGACTCAGAAAGAGCTAACTTTTTTCAGTTCAAGGGATGAAAGTTAGTTACTTGACTTTTGTGTGATAAACTTCTCCTGGGGAGATATAACACACACACATGTCTACTCAACCCCATTTAGGGAACTCACAACAGACCAAAGTACGAATACCACCAAAGTCCAATTGGGCAAAGCAATGAGTTTTATTTACTTACAAGAGAACAGGTGAGGAGTTACATATAGGAACAGAAATGATTCAAAGATGGCGGTATCACAAAAACCCACCTTAGCACTGGAGATTGCTCACAAAGCTGGGAACCTGGAGCATATTGCACAGCCTACTGGCAGCTCAACAGCTTAGAGCATCCTTTCCTGGTGCCTCGGTTGGTCTAAAACTCTGCCAGGAAGCTCTGCTGGCTTCTGCTTCTTCTTGAAAGCTGTTCTGGTCTCATAGTCTTTGTAGATTGGCTTCTCTGGGAGTCTTCTTGGTAGCTCTGTTCCTATTCCTTACTCTAACTGGGAAGGGTATAATGAATTGGGTCAGTTTCAGGGACTTCCTGAAGCTGTTTTAAGTTGTTGTTCTGTTTGTTTCATTGTTTTGCTTTGTTTTTAACCTTTCTTCTTAAGGAACTTCCTTACAAGATGGAAGGTTTCAATCTCAGAGGAGGAAACAGTTATGCTTCAGGCCCTTGCTAGGTAAGTCCTTTAAGGCCAATTTTCTGCAACTTTTCCAAAATGATTTTAAAATTTTTGAGACCCTACATTGCCATGCTTGGCCTGCAGCTGACTTTCTCTGTAGTCCAGTTTGACCTTGAACTTTATTCTTTTGACTAAGGAACTCAGGCTGGCCTTGCACTTCCCATGCAGACAATGATGACCTTGGCTTTTCAATCCTCCTGCGTCAGCTTCCTGAGTACGTGGCATCATAGGTATTATCCACCATGTATGAAAGAATGCCTTTTGCTTTTTTGGCAAAAGAAAAATTAACTTTCTGCTGTTAGAGCCAAGGTCACAGTGCTTACTCAGAACACCATTGATCACTGCTATCTGGGTTGGATGGGGAAGCAATCCCATGAGCACCTTCTAAGCAAAGTCCTAACGAGCTTATCAGTTTGAACATGGTACAGCTCTCTTCTGAGTTCTTAAAGGGAAGCTCCCACCAATCCTGTCCCAGGAGTTATCAGAATTGAAGCTGTTCTCTTGCTCTAAGCATCTGTGAGGCACGAAAAGGTGCAGTTAGATGCTACACCCACTTGTACACTCTATCTCTCAACAATTTTATCTTTCTTTCTCTTATTTATTAATTCTAATCTACTCCTTCCCTTTCAAGGGAGCCACTGAACAGCCCGTGTTATAGGTCACAATCTGGACGTGCCAGGATTTTCTTTAATACCATTTTTATTCTTATAGCTCATACTGAATCATTGGTGAGACAGAACACTTAGCTGTCTTGTTGAGTCTCACTTGGGGGCAACCGGATTTGACACTGAGTATAAAATTGTATGTTGGGGTGGCACACATTAACAATCCCAGCATTTACAAAAAGACAGAGTTTAGAAAATCTTTAGTTGCCAATCTGAGAACATAGCATTCCAGGCCAGATTGGAACACACAGCAAGATCTGTATTTTAAAAATAAATAAACCAAAGAGAGAACAAACAAAAAAGAACTGATCTACAGAGCGGAGATACATTCACAAGTTTCTCAATTTGTCTTCTCTTGCCCAATTACACAGCAAACTACCTCATAGAGAATTTTTTTGCCAGACAACAGATCTTCTAAACTCCTTTCCTGGATGTTATACACAGCTTTTCAGTCCTTCCAAAGCAGGTGTTTTAGCTTTTCATATTAACTTTCCAAAAAACACTTATTAATTTGGGGCTACAGTAAATATGACAAATGCACACAATCCCAAGGGAGCCAATGTGTTTTTCATGGCATTTGCCACCCCACTCAGTACCCAGACTATTGCAGCCTCCTTTCCAGTCTAGCCTGCTGAGTACTGGGACCTCCTTATACATGTCTTTCCCACAACCCTCCAGATTTAGCCTGGGCCCTACATCCAGTTCTAGTCTGGCCTTCTGTCTTCACTTTAAGTGAGCTCTAGGTTTGGGCCAGGAACCTTCCTCCCTATTTCCCAAACCACAGGACCCTCCCATGTCACATTCAACCTTTCCTATCAGACCTATCTACCTTACACTCCAGGCTTGGACCAGGAAACACATCTGCTTAACAGCCTCTGTCCACCAGGCTTCATTCTTTCCCAAGCATTTCCAGCCTCTACTCTAAGCCACCTCACATCTCCTCTCATCCAGCCTTCATGCTGACTTCAATCAGGTCAGAATTAGTCCAGCACTAAATCAAATCTAAACTTGCAGTCCTTAAAATCAAGATCTGCTGTTCCCTTCTCCTCTGAACCTCAGCTCTCACAGGAAGAACCCAACAGGCAAAAGAGGCCCTCTATTTTCTTTCACCAGCAAAGCTTAGTTCCTGTTTACATTAAGGGAATCTAGCTTTCTGACATTCAACTCTGCAGTATTTGCTGACTCATGGTGAGCCAGCAGAGAAATTCTGTTATTCAAAGTCCATAACTGTGGAGAAATCTTCTTTGTCTTTCCAGAGGTAAGTGGACAAGCAAACTGTGGCACACACAGACAATGGTGCAGTAATACTGAGAAAACAGCAATGAGTGATCAAGTCACTAAACAGCACAGGGGGATTCAAAGTTTACAATAAGATATGGATGTCTCTCTGGACAACCAGCTCTTGGGACATATTGAGAAAGAAATAATTGTGAAGACAAGAAAAACAGCCAGAAACCAATTCGTCAAGTCTTATTATTATACCCACAGGTTAGTACATCTCTCAATCCTCATCAGAGACGCCTCTGCATGCAGTAGATGGTTTTGAACACCGAGACTCAAAACTGGTCACTGTGCAGAGAATAAGAATGCAGAACGCTCATCTCCAAGTAGGACTTCTGTATCACAGCCTCTTGCAAGGCTCAGAGACTGACAAGGAATTGCCTCCTGAGTGTTAGGACTAAAGGTGTGTGCCACCACTGCTGGCCTAGTCCTCTGATGGGCTGTAAAATGATTTGTTTTAAATGTTTACAATGTTTGGCTTATTATGTTAATTTTTATTCCTCTTGTTATTCTTTTGATCCCCACCCTTTTCCATGCCCACTTCCAGCGACCTCTGAACACTTGCTTCATCTGAAAACTCTCTCTCTCTTCCTGTTTTCTCTTTCTGGTGTGCACACATATCTTTGCCTCTGTCCCTCTTATCTCTTCTCCTTCTCTCTCTCTCTCTCTGTCTGTCTCTGTCTCTCTCTGTCTGTCTCTCTCGCTCTCCTTTAATAAATGTTTATGGCTATTTTCTGTGTCTATGGGTCTGTTTACACAGGCTCCCCTGCTGTTGGGAATTTGCAGCTGCAATGCCCCCTGCTGTTGGGAACCTGCAGCTGCTTGGCTGCTGGCTCCTGGCATGGCAGGGCTGCCAGCCCACCCAGGACACATGATATATATTTCTAGAATAAAACTTCTCTCATTTATTATAACCAGACTGCAGTTTTCCCTCCTTTCATTTTTTTTCCAGTCCTCCTTTCTACTTCTCCTCTCCCGAGGTCTACTCCTTTGTTAACTTAAAAAAAGAGCAGGCCTCCCAGGCATATCAGCCAAACACAGCATAAAAATTTATATTAGGACTAGGCACAAGCCTTCATATCAAGAAATGGACACCAAGAACAGGCAAAAGAGTCAGAGACACCCCCACTCCCACTGTTAGGAGTCCAGTAAGAACACTCAGCTACACAACTACATCTCTGCAGAGGATCTAGCCCAGAGCCATGCAAGCTCCGTATTTCCCTATGAGTCTTGCTTAGTTGATTCTGTGGGCTATGCGTCTCTGGTGTCTTTGACCCCCTTTGGCTCCTGCAATCCCCCCACCGCTCAACCTCTCAGCCCTCGAATCTGTAGGGTTGCCCTGGTTCTGTCTAGTGTTTGGCTGTGAGTCTCTGCCTCTGTTTCCATCAGTTGCTTGGTGAAGCCTCACTAATGACGACTGGACAAGGCTCTGATCTATGAGTATAGCAGAATATCCTTAGTAATCATTTTATAGACATTATCCCTAGTTGTATTTGGTTCTATCCTGGGTCTCTGGGTTGTTCAGTTTCTAGTGTCTGGCCATACAGGCAATGTCAGGCACGGGCTCCCTCTTGTGGTGTGGGCTTCTATTGGACAAGTCACAGGTTGGCCACTCCTACAAATTCTGTGCCACCATTACCTCAGCACATATTGGAGAAAGGACGGATTGTAGGTCAAAGGTTTTGTGTCTGGTTTGAGGTTCCAGAACCTCTGCTGGGAGCCTCACCTGGTTAGAGAACATGGACAGTTCAGGTCCCGTACCCCCATTACTAGGAGTCTTTGCTAGAGTCACCCTCAGATATTTCTAAGATTTTCAACTGCACTAGGCTTCCACATCGACCCCCAAACGTCCACGAATTTCACTCATCTCTCCTAGTATGCTCTCTCTCCATCACTTCTCACCCCAACAGGCCTGATGCCTCCTTTTCCCATACCCACTCACCCCCAGTACACCCACAAAATCTATTTGATTTCTCCTTCCCAGGAAGAGCTAAGTATTGAAAGACCCCCCACCGAGCTTATTAAATGACTTAGCACCCGTAATGCCATTTTACAAGGCTTGTACGGAATATTCAGGGTTTGAACAAAGGGCAGTTTAAAAGCTGCCAAAACGAGCTAGAGACACCTGTGGCTGGGCCGGGGGAGGAACGGGAATACCGAGAATATGGCTAGGCACCGTCTGTCCCAGGCGGGGAGGAACGGTGAAGTCTGCCCTAGATAAGAGCCAAGGCAGCCCATATCTGAATTCTCGGGAACTAGAGACCTTGTCCCAACCTGAACTCGGCCACATTCAAACTGACCAATGAAAACCCTGTAACTATGCTTCTCGCTTCTGTACAGCGCTTTTTGCTCCCCAAAACATATATAAACCCATTACCCCGACCTGGAGGTGCACAAGTCCTCTGAGAGACTTTGTCGCCCCAGGTACCTGTGTATCTGAATAAACCTCTTGCTGTTTGCATCCGTACAAGTGGTCTCGCTGTTCCTTGGGAAGGGTCTCCCCAGAGGAAAGACACTATTGGAGGGTCTTTCATTATCTTCCGTTGGGTCCTCCCTGTTACCTAGCCTCTCTGGGCCTGTGGATTGTAGCATGATTAGCCCATACTTAGCAACTAATGTCCACTTAGCACTGAGTACATCCCATGTTTGTCTTTCAGCGTCTGAGTTACCTCGCTCAGGATGATTTTTTTCTAGTTCCATCCATTTGCCTGCAAATTTCATGTCATTCTTTTGAATAGCTAAGAAATAGTTCCTTGTGTAAATGTATCACATTTTCTTTATCCATTCTTAAGCTGAGGGACATTTAGGTTGTTTCCAGTTTCTGGCTGTTATCAATAAAGATGCAATGAACATAATTGAGCAAGTGTCCTTGTGGTAGGATGGAATGTCCTTTGGGTATATGCTGAATATGGTATAGATGGGTATTGAGGTACATGATATCCCAATTTTTGCTTACAGAAATTCTTGCTAAACAATTTGTCAGAATTGCATGAATACAAATCATTACTAGCATTTGCAGAAACAAAGCCTGGCACAGGGGCTAACAATGACCTCACGTTTAAAAAAGAACTCTGTGAGGTCATCTGCTAGTGTATGCTGGAATAGACGTCTCCTTTTCGTAACTGCAGCAAGCCACAGATGTTTTAAAGTAGCTCTTGTAAGATGTCTCAGTTTCCTTGACATTTTCCTGTGTCTCAGATGCCTTGAACACCCACTCCATTCACTACAGTTATAGCCTCTCCCATAGCAGTGTCTCTTCCCAAATAATCTTACAGATTCATCTGGGAGGACTTTCACCCATTTTTTTTAGGTTCATAAACCGTCGTGCAGCAGGAAGACTTTGCACTGTGCAGAGTTTAATCTTGTTCACCATAATCAGTTCTACACCAGATCAAAATGAACATCCTGTTGAGTGCCCCACCCCTTGGCTATGGCTGCCTTCCAATGCAGTAAAAGCCCGCCCCCTCATACAGGAAATAAAGACTTCACCAGTCTGCTTACACAAGAAGCAGGCATTCATCTGCTCTCAGAAAGTCTCTGCAGCAACCATGGCCACCTTCGTGGAACTCAGTACCAAGGCCAAGATGCCCATCGTGGGCCTGGGCACCTGGAAGGTGAGTTTGCAATCTTGGGTCACCTGCTTCTCTTGAAGGGGGGACCTTGGCGTTTTCCTTTCATTTGACAGAATCTGTGTTGGGTTTGGAAGCCCAGAGCTGTCACCCAGTGTCCTTTCATTTGGGGCTTCTTTGGGCTACGGAGAACTAAGATGAGCCTTTCTCGGAAATGAGGATAGTTTCCCTGGAAAGTTGGAACTATACTTTGGGAAGAAAATAGTTTTCATTGTTGTTATTTTCATAGCAAGCATTTCCTTGAGACTCAGAGGCAGAACTCTGTTGGTTTGTTACTGGCTGAGTGACTGAGAGAGGAGAGAGTTCTGAAGGACCAGGCTCCCCCTGCTGTTCATGATGCTAAATTCCTTGCAGGCATCCAAGTGGCCAGGGAGCCTGGGGGAGAGGGAAGGTCTTAGACCCCAGTCCAGGTTACTGAACTGGCCCCTGCCCTTCACCAAGACTCCACGTGATTTCCTGACAGGAAAGTAAAATCTGATTGTCCTGAGGACGGCAGAGCCTGCACTTGAAGTCAGCTCAGGCTCTGCCCCGCCTGTGTTAATCTCTTCTGCCACGTTTTTCCGTGGTCCATCCCAGTGCGCACAGTGAATCGCATTTCCCAACCGCTCCTCAGACAAGTCTGAAATTGTTCCATCTTGTATCTCTGCCTTCTTTGTCTTTCCCTTCAGCCACAACACGACAATAGTCAGCATGTTCATAGGAGCTGTTTTTAGTTAGGAGTTTGATTTCTTGAGACAGGGTCTCACTCTAAACCTACACTGACCTTGAGCGAACTAGGAGCAGCCCTCCTGCCTCAGCTTCTTGAACGCTGGGACTACAGTGTAGACATCATCCCTGGATCATGAGCTGCTTTGGAACCCTTCTCTCCTGTCTCAGAGACTCCTCTCCAGGCTTCCTCCTCTGTCCCTTTGTTCCTCTTGGCACAGAGGGTCAGATCCGTCTGTGTGTTGGTGCTGCACTGAAATCTTTCTAGAACAGCGAGACTTGAACCAAATTAGGAATTTCACATTCCATCAAGGTAACAAACAATCACAATTCTCCAGGGAATCTACTCAGCCTGGATGAATTTAGAAGAGATGAACACTGAGAATCTGAAAAGCAGTTGTAACTATTGTGAAGGAGCTGTTTTCAAGGTTAAAGAACAGTGCTGTGGAGCAATCCTTCTGTACACGGTGAAGATGTGCTGCTCTCGTGGTTAATAAAGAGCTGATTGTCTGATGGCTAGACAGGATCTTGGGGGCAGAGAGGATGCTGGGAGGAAGAATAGAAATGGGTTAATTTAAGTTGTGAGAGCTGGCTGGAGACTAGCCTAAGCTATCGGCTCAGAATTTATAATTAATATGAAGTTTTTGTGTGGTTATTTGGGAGCAGCTGGTGGACAGAATCTTCTGCCTACATGATGGTGCTGCTGTAGACACTGTGCTTATCAGTGGACATGCAGGAGGGTGGGGCTTTGAGCCTGGACCCCAGTGCTTCTAAATTTCTGGCAATTCCTTGTCCCCATAATGGCACAGCTGTTCATCTCTGCTTTATGTACAACGCTTTATCAAGGTTTGATACTTAAAAAAGAATTTTTAGAATTTTGTTGTTTGAGAGAGTCTCATGTAGCCCAGACTGGCTTATAATTCCTTATATGGCTGAGACTGGCTTTGAATTCCTTATTCTCCTACCCCTTTTCCTCCCAAATGCTAAGATTACAGATGCAGGCCTCCACATCTGGCAGGATTTTGTTTCCTCTTGAATGAGGTGGTAATGTGCTCCAGGCTGGCCTCAAAGTCATGACCCTCCTGCCTTGAGCCTCCCAGAGTGGGATTGGAGGCGTGCAGCTCTATGCTCTGCAGGGAGATGAGTGCAGAGTATCATTTCCCACCACCAATGTAGGGCTCGGCTAGGTTAGATCAGAAGGTGATAGTTTGAACATTCTTTTCTCTTCTTTTCTTTTCTTTTGCTTATAGGTGGGAGAATAATCAGTTGTTACAGTTCTTATTCATTCCTGTTCTGAAACAGTGATGACATACTGGTTGCATCCACTCAGCCTTACTAAGTGCCAGGGGATGTGCTAAAACCTTCACAATCCTGTGGCAAGTAAGGGACACAAAGGCCTCACGAGGCAGGGTCCATTACTGTTGCTATACTTTGTTGTCAAGGTTTAGAGAAATTGAGGAATCCCTTAGCCTCATAGGGCACCATAGCAGAGTAGATTAGCTTGTCGTGACTGTTTTGATAGCCTTCTTCCCAGAGTCTGAAAATTCCTCTGGATTGTCTCAGAATCGAGTTTTCAGAGTGGCCTTCAGCAAGATGCAATGGGAACTGTCTGTCCCTGTCTGAACCTGGAGGCTTTTCAGATCAACCTGGATCAGAGGACAACTGGTTACTGACTAGAAGAGGACATGGTTTGATGATCACTACAGTGACATGTGCTTTAAGTTGCCATGTTAAACCACATTGCTTTGTCAAGAGAAAAACTGAATGAAATAAAAAAATATTAATTCACATTATCTTTTTCTTTGAAAACTTGCCCAATGTATGTTTTCCTCTCTCTTGTCTGCTTGTATGTAAGGCTTCAGCAAGACCATCATTTTGAGAATATGGTCTATGTGGAACCGTTAAGAGGGGGCCTTGGGACTGTCTAGCTGTCTTTTCTGTTGTCTTTAGTCTCCACCAGGCAAAGTCAAGGAAGCTGTGAAGGCCGCCATTGATGCTGGGTACCGCCACATTGACTGCGCCTATGCCTATCAGAATGAGAATGAAGTGGGGGAAGCCATCCAAGAGAAGATCAAGGAGAAGGCCGTGAAGCGGGAGGATCTCTTCATTGTCAGCAAGGTAGAGTGGCCCACTTGGTGGAGGGGACTTCAGGCAGGTGGAAGTATCTGGGTATGACTGGCTTCAAGAGCTTATCAGTTATCACTATGTGCCTGCCTGTCTACCAGCCCTTTTCTCCTGTGTTCATTATATATCTAGACAGATTTCCACACACAAAAAGCTCCAAATGTTGGGGTGGCCACACCTATATATACTCATTGTCATCAATCATGGGCCTGATTGGCCCGAGGATAAGGAAGTGCTAATAGGGCCAGCTGTTCCTAATTGCACCCTAATGCTTGAGCTTTAAGTACCATCACTGACTCCTGCCCACAGAGAAACCAGAGCCAAGGAAGGAATAACATAGGAATATAAAATTTTAGTCAGTGACCAACTCTGTTAAATGACCAAAGAAACAAATCGAATACCAAGTGCACAGAACACTTCGGAAATGACCTTGACCTGATGAGAGCTGATGTAAACTTGTTAAGTGTCAAACCCCGGATAAACAGCTGAGGTGTTTGATATTAATATATAAAAGTGGACCTGGTGACTGGATTCTCCCAGCAACTCACAGTCCTTGGCTGTTACAGGGTATGTCTGGCATACCCTACCATCTAATCTGAACTCTCCAGCCCAGGGGCTGGGCTGCTCTTCCCCCAAAGGTCTTCCTTACATAATCCAGACACTTTGGTTACCTGCCCCCTTTGTACTCTGCACCTCACTTCTGCCCTCTTACCTCTCCCCATCCCATAGCCCACCTCAGTCCGGTCATGTCCATTCTGGATTCTCCCAGACGTTTCTGCCTCTGGACATGCTCTCCCTTTTATCCACAGTAAACTTCCTCCTCCACCATACCTGGGAGCCTAAATGTCCTTTCTTCTCCTTTTTCTTTGTTTCCATTCACTCCTGGGCTGCATTTCTTAACTGTTTTTATTATCAATGAATGGCCTGGCCAGGGTTTATAAATCTCAAAGCCAGTAGTGTGGCTGTGGCATGGGCCTTCCTCTCCCCAGTCCTAACGCCCTTATCTCACGTCTGCAGCTGTGGCCCACCTTCTTCGAGAAAAGCCTGGTGAAGAAATGCTTTCAGAAAACCCTCTCGGATCTGAAACTGGACTACCTGGACCTGTATCTAGTTCACTGGCCACAGGGATTCCAGGTTCGAGCTTCTCTTTGCATTGTCTCTACTTTCTGGGAGATAGCTCAAAATGGAGACCATGACAAGATGTGGCACTGGAGAGGAATGAAGCTGGAGACATCTTTTAATTTTTCTTAGATTATCTGCTTATGGGTGTTTTAGTTACATGTCTGTATGTGCACCTTGTCCATGCTTGGTGTCTCTGAATATCAGAAGGGCGCATGGGATCCCTGGGACTTGGAGTCACACATAGTTGTGAATAAACACATGGGTGCTGGGAACCAAACCCAGGTCGCCTGCAAGAGCAATAGTGCTCTTATCTGCTGAGCCATCTCTCTAGTCCCCAGAAGATCACACACAGAGTAAATAAAAGAGCCTGGAATGGAGTGGAAGTTGAGGCAACAGGTAGTATCTGTGGAGCCTCAAGCTTGGTTTGATGCAACCGTGAAGAAACAGTCATTTCTGCCAGCTCAGATAAGCTGCCACTGGCCAGTCACTTTCCTGTCGAACCCAATCCACAAGAGCCCTGGGTAGGATGTCTTGGGATGATCTTGCATAAGTCCCTATAAATCAAAGAAAGTATGCCTGGGAGTGACTTCCAAATATGGTGATATTGGCAGTTAGCCAGTCCAGCCGGAAAAGCTGCTCTGTAGTGTCTGGGGCTCTACTCCCAGGAACTGGAGAGATGGGAGTTCTTATTCTGTTGCCCTCATGAACAGCGATGGTCACAGTGCCAACATTTAAGCCCTCTGAAGGTGGCAAAATCAGAAGCTGGCTCCTTCTTCCCCAGATAACCATCCTCTTTTGGTAGAACCTTTGTCTAGTTACCTTGACATTAAAATTCCTCCAAGTTTATATTAATTTCCAGGATGGTAATGGTGGCTTCATTGATATACCAATGAATCTGGAGCCATTCGGTATTGCCAGAAACAGAGGGCTCACACCCTGTGGCAGACTGATGCAGAAATGTGATTGAGAACAACTGTTTTTATGTGAGCGCTCCAGAGTTTGACCAATGTCCGTGCAGGTATGGGCACTGCTCACTGCACTGTCCTGAGATATCTCCCCATAGGACCAGATGCCAGTGAGATTTTTTTTTATTTATTTACAGGCTGGGAATGAGATTTTCCCCACAGATAAAAATGGCAAACTTCTCATGAGTAAATCCACATTCTTGGATGCCTGGGAGGTAGGTTCCAACTTGTTCCAAGGGTGCTCAGAGTTAAAGCCTTCTGTCAGGCCCCCCTGAGGCTCCGCCCTGGTATGAAATGCTCTGTATATATCTTCAGGACTGTTCTTCTCCCTCTCTCCTTTAATGTGGTGTATATGGAGGTACCTGTGAAGGTCAGAGGACGGAAGGAGATTAATTCCTTCTACCAGGCAGCTTCCAGGGATAAAGTGAGATTGTCAAACTTGGCACAAAGGACCTTTACCCACTGAGACATTTCCCTGGTTCCATGAAACACCTTAAGGAGCAGAAAATATCTTGCTGTAGCCCAGGCTCTCCTAGAATCCCTGAGTATGTCAATAATGTGACAATTCTGTGGACCCACAACAAACCGTAGGGAACAGAATTCAAAAGAAGGAAAGAAAAATGAGTGTAAGGAGGGCAAGATGGATCATACAACCTACCCAAACCCGCCCCAGGCCGTACAACATTCCCAGTATCTCACTGCCCACTAGACTCCCCCCCCCCCTTTTTAAGATTTATTTATTATGTATACAATGTTCTGCCTGCATGTATGTCTGCATACCAGAAGAGGGCACCAGTTCTCATTGTAGATTGTTGTGAGCCACCATGTGGGTGCCGGGAATTGAACTCAGGACCTCTGGAAGAGCAGACAGTGCTCTTAACCTCTGACCCATCTCTCCAGCCCCCCACTGGACTTTCTTGTCTCATCAATGCTCAGCTACTCTACCTAGTAAAATCCACCCTCATCCATGCTGTGGTCTTCAGCTTTGTATACTAAATCTCCAGAGGAGTTAAGAACATCCTGATGCCCATGTTGCATTCTAGAGAAATCCTCAGAAGCCAGGGTGTGGAACCTAGACATCCATTTCTGTTAGTGCTTTCAGAGTGTTCTAAGTTGTAGCCAAAAATGAGACACCACGTGTAAGCTGAACACACCCTACTTGTCCCTACTTGCCTCTAAGCCCTTGCTCCTTTTTCCCCCCAACCTGTTCATGATTTTACCACCTTTCTTTATGTTTTATTTTGTTTTCAGGCACAATTTAAACTCTCTTCCTAATGTCTTCCCTGGGATCAGATGATTTCTTCCTTATCTTCCTCATCCCTATGCTATTAGAATTGTCAAAATTCAAAGCACAAAGCACATACATTGTATAGGTTTACATTCTGGAAACAGACTAAAACCAGGAAATTAGAAAGAATGATTACAAATTCATGTCCAATGTATGGCTGCGTGTATCAGCTGGATAATCCTCTTTGGTACCTTTAGAACAAGCTCATTGTATTTAAGTTATAGATAAAGAAACCCAAGATCCTTAGGTTGATGCTATTTGGGTTGGACAAAGACCAATGAGACAGATGTCAGGTCACACAAATCTAGGCTGAGTGCCCTGTTAGGGCCCATATATCTGCAAGACATTTCTACTGCACACTTACAATCACAACTATGTTAGAGGTTGAGGCAGGAAGATCAAATCCTGCCTGGACTGTAGAGTAAGTTCAAGGCCAACCTGTCTAACTTAAAGAGATGCTATTTCAGAACTGAAAACTAGAAAGGGGGTGGAAACTAGAGACATGGCTCAATGGGAGATTGCCTGTGTAGCACAGGAGAAGCCATAGACACAACCCTAATACCATTAAAAAAAAAAAACCAGAGGCCATAGAGATGATTCCTTTCCTCACACTGTGGGCTATTTCCTGGTAAACCCATGTCACTCTGGCCTTAGAGCAGACAGCAAATAAAACCTTCACTTCTCCTTCTTGGTTACAGCGGAGCGGGGGACAGGTAGAAGGGCTGGAACCAGCCATGCAGGCACCACAGTCTAGCTGGAGATTCCCTTTAGTGCTTCACTTGACCTTGTCACATGGAAGCCATTCCTCTTATCCAAGGACGAGGCCAACCCAGCATCCCTGTATCCTCCTGCAGCCATCTAACTGGTGTTTCTCACTGTGACAGGGCATGGAGGAACTGGTAGACCAGGGGCTGGTGAAAGCCCTGGGCATCTCCAACTTCAACCACTTGCAGATTGAGAGGCTCCTGAGCAAGCCTGGACTGAAACATAAGCCAGTGACCAATCAGGTACATTCTCTTTGGTGAAGGCCCTGCTTTGGGACTACTTCAACACTGGGAGGCAATTTCTATACTAGCTACTGAGTCTCATCTCTGAGGTCTGTGTTCAGGATGCCCAGGGAGGTGGGAGAAAGACCCCTGGGTCCATTTCATAACATATCTATCAATGATTTGCATTTGGTCTTTGTTTGTCTTTTCTCGTGTAGGAAAGTTCTTTTGACCACTCTGAAAGCAGGACTACTCCCCTAATAATGGCAATGTTTTCTTTTGCAGATTGAGTGCCACCCATATCTCACCCAGGAGAAACTGATCCAGTACTGTCACTCCAAGGGCATTGGCATCACAGCTTACAGTCCCCTGGGCTCGCCGGACAGACCTCAGTAAGGATCCAGAGTGGCAGCTCTTCTATTACTTACAATTGGGATTCCATAATTTAATATTAGTAGGTAATTTCCAAGACACAAGGAGAAACGTATCAATGGCAATGTACTTGACAACCCATCTGGTTTTACCAGGGTAAAGTGTTTTTAAAATGGTAGCTTGTCTAATCCCATGAAATACCCCATTTTTGCCATCCAGTACTTGGGAAGTTTTCTTAAATTGCTAAAGCATTGAACCTATATATGAACCCAGGGGAAAGACACAAAATTTTCAGATCAGCCCACCTGCCTTGCAGAAGAAGAAGGCTGCAATGTTCAGCCTTGACCCAGACCAAGGAGTGTTGCTCACTGGAACGTAGCCACAGTGGTTTTTCACGCCACCCATCCCTCTTCCCCTAGTGCCAAGCCAGACGACCCTGTAGTACTGGAGATTCCCAGGATTAAGGAAATTGCTGCAAAGCACAAGAAAACTGTGGCCCAGGTAAAATAGAGTGCTTTTTCCTTTCTCAGCAGCAATTCACTCTTGTAGTCACGTATTTACCCGTATTGTTTTTCTGTTTTTTGTTTTTTTATCTCTTGGAGAGGGACAAATGGGATTGTAAACCCATGGGAAGTTTCAGAAAATTGAGCCGGTATCAAGGAAGGAAGGACTGCCTCTGTCCATCAGCTTCCTGCCACATCCGCAGGTTTTGGGTTCAGGTGCTGATTATATAGGGTCTTAGCCTCATGACCATAGGCTATCTTCCTCATTCCTGACTAGGAAGATCGTAGTGTTGTTTCCTGGATCAAGGGACATAGCAAGGGAACTGGCAAATGCCCCTAATACTGAAGTGCCTTCTTAATGTCAATTGTTGTTGGACTTAGATAATCTTACAAGCAGGAGGATTTCTTGTAGATAACCAGACTCGTGCCTTCTCTTCATGATTCATAGGTTCTGATTCGGTTCCATATTCAAAGGAATGTGGTGGTGATCCCCAAGTCTGTGACACCTTCCCGCATACGTGAGAACTTTGAGGTATGATGAGGCTGTTTATCTGATGTTTTTCAGTGGTACAGATGATCAGGAGGGAAGGAGGGTCCCTGTCCTTCAGCATCTCCTCTCATCCCTTCGTTGCCAGTGTGTCTTCCCTTGTTCTAAGCACTTTATCAACTCCTAGGCCAGAGAGCTGGCCCCCACAGAGCTGGATGATCACCAGTGGGTCACGGATGGACTGGGGTGGGTATCGGCAAAGCCCTGTCAGGACTGGTCAAGGCTGTGCCTTACACCATGGATGATCACAGCTTATACCACTGAGTGGTGCCCTACACCACCGAGCAGACCACTGCAAACCACTGAGTACTTAGCTCATCGGCCAGTCATTGTCCTGGCCAACTATACACTGCCTTGGTCTACTCACCTATGTTTTGTAGATATAGGGACTGGATTTGAAAAAGAATCCTTCTGAAATGCCTCAGGAATCATAGTCATTGTGCATACTTCACACCCCTACAGCCAAATCTCTTCCCATCTTAGAACACTAAACTCTATAAATAATTTACTCTTAACGTGTTTGCCATGGCCATATTCAGGGAAACATCTGGAACCTCACATCCCATCAACACTTTCCTTGCTAAGGATGTTTTTGGATCTTTCTAGGTCTTTGACTTCCAGTTGAGTGATGAGGAGATGGCCACCATTCTCAGCTTCAACAGAAACTGGAGGGCCTGTGGTGTGTTTGCGTAAGTATCATCAAGTTATATAAGAGGTTAATAGGTCTTTATCTAAGGTTGTAAAGGGTAGTAGGAAGGAACAGAAGGCATGAGGGATTGTGGGATTACATTCGTCTTGAAATACTATTTTAAGGTTGTTTTAAAAAAATTAACATTTGAGTCATGGGGAATCATTAGTAGGAGAGACATTATTTGATGCCCATTTTCTTAATTTTAGGACATTTAAGAAAGGAATTGTTACAACTACGTGGGAGTCAGAAGTTCTCATTCCCTTCCTCATTCATTTAGCAACTTTCTGCAATGTGCTATGGCCAGGAATGATCTAGATCGTCAGGGCATCACACTACAAACTTCCTGTTCTCAGTCTTATATTCTAGAAAGGGAAAAGTGTGTTAACACCAAATATGTATGTCAGAGAGTAACACATGCTACAGAACAGTAAAATGGGGCAGAAGGCAGAGGCAGTAGTGAGCCCTGTGTGATAACACTTTAATACATGGTTGTCTCCGGAGGCTTCTTTGATAAAATGACAGTTGAAGAGGGTGAAGGATGAATGGCAATCAGGAAATAGCATTCTTGACAGTCACAGCTACCACTGCAAATGTCCTGAGGCAACAGGTTCAAAGCACTTGGGTTAGGATGCTATTGAGAATATAGTGCATTGACAGGGTGTTATTGTAAGAAAAAAGGAAGTTGGAGACAGCGTTGGGTTAATATCAAGTAGGTGCTATAGACCATGTACAGGGCTTAGAGTTTTAGGTCTGAAGGAGGGAGAAGCCATAAGGGAATTTCAAGCAGAGGCTGGCATGACCTGGCATGCCTTAAAAGATTCACCAAGACCTGTGCATCGAGAGACTATGATAACCCATGGGAAAGATGAGAGTCATTGGACCAGGAGCATGGTGTGGGGGAGGAAATGAGGAAGATCATAATCTAGATAAATGGGAACACACAGTCCATTAAATTTGCCAAAAAAAGATTTAACAGTTGAATACAGTTTTTATTCCTTTGTTTTGCTTTTGCTTGAGCAGCTCAAGTACAGAATTAACATTTTGGGAAAGTCCAGGTTTTGAGATGTGTTTTTTATGCCAGTGGGGTAGCAACTAAGAGTGTGTGCGGAGCTAGAGGATTTGGTGGACTCCGAAGCCAGCCTAGCTGGGTCCTAATCCAATCCCCACCACTTACTCACCACAGATGAGGCCTGGGGTAGTTTCGATGTCGAAAAGTCACTCTATCTACAAAGTCAGATGACGGTATTAATTACAGCAAACATTCACTGAACACCAGCTGAAATAGAGCAGACACTTAAGCTCTTTGCTTATATTAATTTTATTTAATAGCCACAACCCATCTGTCCATTTCAATAGTATTTCCTACTTCACAACAATGTGAGAATTTGAGACAATAGTTCTGAGGCCATCGGCTGTGTGCCAGCTGGCTTATGATCCCTCATTATGGCAACGTACTGGTGACGAGATGAGATGGTTTGCAGGCCCTCTTGTACTTTTGGGGGGGGGGGTCATGTTGTGTGTCTCCCCACCCCCACCATGTCCTGTGTCCACAGTTATGTTGGGGAACAGATTGAAAAACACGGGAAAGCTGAATATACCATACAAGAATGCCTCCCATCATATTTTTGCTTCTGTGGACCATTTTCTCTTTCATGTTTGTACTGCAGTGCAATTAACGAAGAGGACTATCCTTTCCACGAGGAATACTGACGCTGATTCACTTGATGAGACTGCCTGGTGAATCCCATCTTCATGGTGTGAAAGTCCCTCCTGATACCTGCCTTAGCCAAAGTGTGTCTAATTCTGGTAACACTGAGAATACAAAGACAAAATAAAAAGTAAATAATAGTAAGTCTTGTAGTGTGCTGTGGGACAATGGTCTTTTTTTTATCCTGTCACTTGTATTATTTTTAATAAAACGCTGATTGGCCAGTAGTCAGGCAGGAAGTATAAGCTGGGCAACCAGGCAGGAAGCAGAGGAGGGGCAATGAGAACAGGAGAATTCTGGGAAGAGGAAAGCTCAGTCTGCAGTCATGACCCAGATACAGAAGAAGCCAAATGTGACTGCCTCACCAAGTAAGGTATCGAGCCACGTGGCTAGCACAGACAAGAATAGTGGGCTAATAAGTTATAAGAGTTAATAAGAAGTCTGAGCTACTAGGCCAATCAGTTTTATAATTAATGTAGACCTCTGTGTGTTTCTTTGGGACTTGACTGTGGGAACTTGGTCAACAGTAGTGTGCTGTCTGTTGCTGTGATAATTACCAGGAAAGCAACTTGTAGAGGAAAGGGCTTAATTGGCTTACATGTTTCAGTCACACTCCATCACGGAAGGAAGTCATGGCATGATGGAGGAAGGTCATTGGCTAATAAAGGCACTGCCCTGGCCCATTTTATTGGTTAGAGGATAGGTGGGAGGAGTAAACAGAACAGAACACTGGGAGGAAGAGGAAGTGAGCTCAGAGACTACACAGCTCTCTCGGAAGCAGACGCCTCAGAGAGAGACGCCATGCCCCGCTCCCGGGATGAAGCTCTGACCCAGGATGGACTAGGCTAGAATCTCCCCGGTAAGCGCACCTTGGGGTGCCATACACAGATGATTAGAAATGGGTTAAATTAATATGTGAGAATTAGCCTAGAAGAGAATGGGCCAAGCAGTGATTAAATGAATACAGTTTGTGTGTTGTTATTTCGGGCATAAGCTAGCCGAGCAGGCGGCTGGGGTGCTGGGAATGCAGCCCTGCCACTCCAATTACTACAATGGCAGAAACAAAAGCAGGAACTGGGAGGCAGGAACTGAAGCATTGACCATGGAGGGATGCTGTTTACTGGCTTGTTCCATGGTTTAGTCATGATTTCTTATAAGCTCAGCACCACCTGCCCAGGGGTGGCATTGCCCACAGAGGCCTGGGCCCTCTTATACCAATCAATCATTAATCAAGAAAATCGTCAGCTATCTGATGGAGGCAATTCTTCAACCGAGGTTCCCTCTTCCTAGGTGAGTTTTGTTGATATCACATTGACAAAACTAACCAGCATTCACCAAAGTGTCCAACACAGTTCAAAGTGCTTTTTAATGAGTGAATTCCATGCCTCCAAAATATCATAATTCACATTTTACAGAAGAGAAAATAGAGGTATCTGGGAGCCAAAAACCTGATGAAGGTCCCAGGTAACAGGTGGCTAAGCCAAGTTTCAAAGAAAGGTGTTCTCAGGGAGAGTTCAAGGTAATTTGATGCCTTCCTCCTCCTGAGCTTTGTCTTGGTCCCTTCCTTCCACTTTTGCCTGTGACTTTCCACCTTGTCTGTAATATGCCATCATGCCAGAGTCGGAGATGCTGGCAGCAGTGCCTAGGAAATCCACCAAGGTGCTTCTGTTCACAGAGAGAGGGAGGGAGGGAGAGAGAGAGAGAGAGAGAGAGAGAGAGAGAGAGAGAGAGAGAGACGCTCCTTGGAGTCTGACAAATCTAACACAGTTCACATCTTGCAACACTTGGTCTACATGCTTTAAAAAAGGAAGGGAAGGAAGAACATGGCTTAAGAACTAAGTGGTAACCAGGATGAGCAAAGGGTCCTGGAAAGAGTCACAGCTTCAGCTGGACCTCTGCAAAGTCGATTAAGTGATTTCAGTTTCCATGATGTTAAGAAGGAGCAGAATGTTGAAGGTCCAGAGCCAAATTATTTTGAGCCATCTTTAGTAGCCTAAAAATAGCCTTTTGTTACTTCCCTCTGTATGTGACCAGGGTATTCAAGACAAGCAGCACAAATTGGGGGAGGGCTCACATGTTTTTACAAAAACACTAGGAAAGAAAAGTCCGTGAGATGACCAAGAGAGTGGGGGCTTTCTAGGACAGGGCAGAATTCCAGCAGCTCTGCTGAACCAGAAGTGCCATAATTGAGAGAACCCAATAGCGCATCATAAGAAACACACAGAACACCCTCACACCCCGCTAACAGCAGAGAGTGCGCTTCCTATTTCTGATGTGGGCAAACCCACTTGCTTCTATGGCGCACGCTCATTTTATGTATTAATGCTAAAATAGCAATTTCAAATTGAAAAGACTGATCCCAGAAGAAGGATCCTTTTCCACAACTTGCCGCCACCCTACAAATAGTCAAACCGGCAGATGGTTCACTTCAGAGCTCATAAGCAAGTTGGCAACAGAAACTGACAGCGTTCCTGCCCCACCGTCAACAGTGAGTGTTCTGGATTGTAAGACACCGACCAGTTCTTTGGTAGGGCTGTGTAGACAGGTGTGTCTTCTGCATGAAGGCGCAACTAGTAAACCAGTTCCTATGGTAGCCCCAATGTCAACAACTTTGTCCCATCCAAAGACCTCAGGTAATTGTGCCAAGCTTGCCCTACCTGTAGGAAGTGGTAGGATATAGGTCCAATATGTTCTCCTTTATCCCATGCATTCCCAAAGAAAGAGGGCCCCCTGAAGAGAGGGAGAACTTAGAGCTGCTGTGTATAGTTATTGCCCAGCCCCAATCCAGAGATTCCTGTAACGGAAAATCTCAAGTTAGAGCGGGATATCCCACAAGTGCCTTAAAGTGGGTTTTCCTTAGTTCCAGTAATACCTAACCTTCCTGTGTTCATCAGCCATCAGATATTACAGGATCGCTTTTAGTTTCAAAATGGTTATTTTCATGCAGTGGTATTTTTCTTTTCATATCCCATTCTGATATGCCATGACCTATTGTCATTTTAATTTGGTTGTGCTACGTGGAGGTTTTGGGGGGTGTTCCCCCCCGGGGAGGGGGGCCCTTTACATAGTCAGTGGGTGATACCCAGCAGCTGGGAATACAGATTCTCTGTGGAGCTCCTGACGCCAAGTTAGAGGCAACATGGAGACAGGAAGCACACAGGTTCCCAAGCAAGCTGGTGCCTCCTAAGTGACTGATAGGCTGGGGCCTTAACTCGAGTTCTATTCCTGGGGGAGACAACCCACACATGGATCTGGGGTGCCATAGGCGCTTGCAGAGAGACACTTGACGCTAGATTTAGTCTCTCTTTAAGGTCCTCTGCTGACCTCCAGCGGCCAAAGGGCTGAAATCCAAGAAGCCACTCTCCCAGGTCCTGGTGGGTAGGTCTCCATCTGGGGCGACGCCCCATATCAGCTCCCTACCCCCACCCCACAGTCGCGCTCATCTCGGAGCCCGAGCACGCCAAATTCACCGGGCCTGTTAGCGCGCCCACATTCCTGGTGCCCAGGCCCGGAGTCGGCATATTGGAGTCATAGGTGACCTCCCAAGTCTGAATCACAAACCCGGACCATCCCAGTAGCAGAAGCAAGAGCGCGCACATCTTTAAATCGGCCATTGCAGAAATAGGCGCCTGCGATTGACCGACGGGTGAGGGAACGCGCCTTCTGATTGGTCACCTATGAGCTTCTCCACCTGGGCGGAGTTCAGGGTGCTGGGGTCCCAATCCTGCAACCCAGCTGGTAGCAGAGGTGGAGCCAGTTCCTCTCACGTGGCCTCAGAGAACTGGCAGAGTTAACAGAGCTGTTAAAACTTGGAAGGTAACACTCCTGGCTTTCACATAGCACCTTGCTGCGGAAGAGAGTTCTAATCCATTCCATTTGTCAGTCCTGCGTGTGACCTGTTTTTCTTATTTAAGGTCGTTGATCCCGAATTAACTATAAAGTGTCTGAACAAATGGGACCTGGAGCAACCATATTACCTACAAAAGAGAGCAACCTCTGACGTTCAGAATTTCCAATAGATAGATTCTTGTCATGGTTTGAATATAAATATCCCCCAGGATATTTATATTATATATATTTATAATATAAATTATAATACATTATATATATATATTATATATATAATATTTATATTATATATTACCATGGCTGTTACAACCATGGTATTCTGCTTCATGCTGGCCCAATGCAGTGAAGACAGGGCTCCATGGATGGAAAAAAATCCGGAACTATGAGCCAAAATACGTGTTTTCTACTTTATTTATTTATTTATTGCGTTATTGAGTCATGGTCTTGATGCAGAGATTTTGAGAGTAACAAGTCCGTGCACTCTGAGCACACCCAGATTTCTAAGATGTCTGATAGTTATCATCCACGTTCCGTTTGTAACAGTGGCCCCCACCTTTGTTCTCTTATGGCAATGAAAATTAAAGCTAGGGACCATCCTGGGAGGAAGCCGAGTAGAAGCAGACTTTATTACAGATTATTACAGGAGACTGGAGTGATGGCTTAGCAGTCAAGCGCACCTACTTTCCCAGAGGACCCAGGTTTGATTCCCTGCACTGACCTGGCAGCTGCCATCGGTAATTCTAGCTCCAGGCAATCCAAAGCTCTCTTCTGTCCTCTTCGGGCACGGCACACACATGGTAAACAGACATACATGCAGGCAAACATTCACACACATAAGATAAATAAAGCTCTTTAAAATTATAAAAGATTAGTATAGCTGGGCAGTGGTGGCACATGCCTTTAATCCTAGCACTCGGGAGGCAGAGGCCAGCCTGCTCTACAGAGATAGTTCCAGGACAGTTAGGGCTGTTACACAGAGAAACCGTGTCTCGAAAAACCAGAAAGAAAGAAAAAAGAAGGAAGGAAGAAAGGAAGGAAGAATTATTACACAACAGTGAGGAATTAAGGAAAAGTGAAAATTAAGGAAAACCAAGAGAAACTCCTGAGAGGTTAGGTTTCCAACGCAAGAAAGGACACAGATGTCTGTTGTTCAGGGATTCTGTTGGGCCATACATAGTAACAGATGTGAGCCATGATTGTCCTTCCATTTATCCTGTCTTCTACCGCAACTGATTGCAAAAGACTTCCATGTAAGGAAGCTGATCTCATACAAGAGAGCAGAAGCTGGGCAAAGCCTGGGGTAATTTCTCCTGAGATTGGTTAATTCTCCGGGCCATTGTGGGCAAAGTCAACAGAGGGTCTGTGTGCTGTATGCATGGCA